TGTTATTGGAGTGGGGCTGGGTGGCGTGGAAATCAGGGAATGGAGGAGTCGAGGATACAGACATTCGCAGGGTCAAAGAAAAGCCAATTTTAGGACATCGAGACATTTCCTTATTTCTTGAGTAGTAATGAGGTCGTCATGGGACTGGTAGGTGGTTTATCGTTCGTCACATTATCGTGCAAACCCCTCCCTTTTATGAGCCCATCTTGCAGCATGAGCTCCTCAGCAGTGGTGGAGGTGGCGTACCCTCTCACGTGTTTTTATTTGTTCATTCATTCATCGAACATTTGTTGACCAGCGTGAAACTGACTGGAACAATTCCAACCGCACGTGATGGAAAACCCCTACAGGCCATTGGCTTAAATAAGAGAGATGCTTCTTTCCCTCTGTTGTGAAACAAACTTGGAATTGTGTAGCCCAGGGACCAGGCTCAGGGTCACTGGGACCCAGGCTCCCTCGGCCTTGCTGTGTCACCTGAAGCCATCACCTCATGGTCCAAATTGGTTGCCCACCTCCAGCCTTCATATCCATACTCCAGGCAGCAGGAAGAAGGAAGTTTTGGAAAAGGACCAAAAAGGGGGCGCACCTGTGTAACCCCCTCCACCTGGAGGGTGCTGGGCCTCATTCTGTACCTGGTCAGTCCTGCTCACCTGTCAGGTTCAGCTCCCTTAATCCATGCATCTCCTTCCCATGACAATGGGTGGTTATTTGTACGATAACCATTTGTTGCATACAGTCGGCCCCCCATGTCCACGAGGGTTGGTTCCAGGAAACCCCTGGCCATGCAAATACCAAAATCTGTGGATGCTCAAGTCCTTTATATAAAATGGCATAGTATTTGCACATAACCTACGCACATCTTCCCATATGCTTTATTTTTTATTTTATTTTATTTTTGGGATGGAGTCTCACTCTGTCACCCAGACGCTGGAGTGCAGTGGTACCATCTCGGCTCACTGCAACCTCTGCCTCCCGGGTTCAGGTTTACAAGTGATTCTCCTGCCTCAGCGTCCTGAGTAGCTGGGATTACAGGCGTCTGCCACCACGTCTGGCTACGTTTTTGTATAGGTAGTAGAGACAGAGTTTTGGCATGTTGGCCAAGCTGGTCTCGAACTCCTGACCTCAAGTGATCTGCCCGCCTCGGCCTCCCAAAGTGTGATTATAGGCATGAGCCACCGCGCCTGGCCCTCCCATATGCTTTAAATCATCTCTAGATTACTTATAATACTGAGTATAATGTAAATGCTACATAAATGGTTGCTATACTGTATTGTTTAGGAAATAATGACGAGGAAAAAAGTCTGTAGTGTTCAGTACAGACAAACCCGTCCTGGGCCTACCTGCAAGGACCCAGTCCACAGTGGGTTGAACCCGCAGCCAGGGAACCCACAGATCCAGACGGCCAACTGTATTGGGTCTCTGTGAGGGTCTAACTCCGTGAGCACGGGGACCCTGCTGCTGATTTCGCTGCTGCAGCTCCACTGCCAGGGAATGCACGGTTGAGCTCCCATGCAGTGGGCATGGCCCAGGTGACCCTTGACCCTCGCTTGAGTTCTCAGCTTCAGGGCGGTTTACCCTGGCGGTGGACAGGGTTTCTAAGGAGGATGGGCTGGCTCGAAGGCAGCGGGGGACATTAGGCTTTCGGCTTGATTTCCATTACTCTAATGGTGACCCACTTTGTCTGCCGCACACCGGGCTGTCTTCAAGATGACAGGTTGACAATGACCACCATTGGGTCGTTACTGAGCAAAGAGCCATTAACACACTGGCTGTGGTTCCAGCACAGCTTGTGCCGGGAGGCAGGTAGGTGTCTGTCATCCCAGGTGCGCTGGCCTCATTTGTCCAAAGGAATCTGCCGACCTCAGGAAACCCCAGCACGCCTTCAGGCCACCGCCTTGCTTGTCTGTAGCCTTCCCGTGGTCACCGCACTTCCGGGCCAGGGTCCCAGCCAGGGTTTATACAGAGACCCACTCACCCAGACGAACTGGGAAGCAAGACTGTGGGTGTCATCCCAAGTGGCAAAAGAACTTAGGAACCTGGAGGAAGCAGGCATGGGCATATTTATTTTGAATACATGTGTCTAATTATTCAGTGGAACTTTCTTAAATGAATTCCAAATACATGTGAAGATTTGCTTCCAGTTGCTTAATGTGTTTTTAATAAGGAGGCTCTTACCAGATAACCTACCCTGAAATTTCTTTTTCTTCCTTTCCTCTTTCCTCACTTTCCTTCCTTCTTCTCTTTTCTCCTCCTCCTCACTTCCTCTCTTCTCCTTCCTCCTCCTCTTCCTCCCCTTCCTCTTCCTCCTCTTCTTCCTCCTCTTCCTCTTCCTCCTCCTCTTCTCCTTCTCCTTCTTCTTCCCTTCTCTCTCTCTCCTTCCCTTCCCTTCCCCTCCCCTCCCCTCCTTTTTTCTTTTCTTTTCTTTTCTTTTCTTTTCTTTTCTGAGTCTTGCTCTGTTGCCTATGCTGGAGTGCGGGCTTCTTTGTGGCTCACTGTAGCCTCAACCTCCTGGGCTCAGGTGATCCTCCCACCTCACCTCCTGAGCTGAGTAGTTGGGACTACAGGCGCGTGCCACCACGCTCGTCTGATTTTTAAAAAATATTTATTTATTTATTTTTAGTAGAGATGAGGTCTTGCTATGTTGCCCCGGCTGGTCTTGAACTCCTGGGCTCAAGTGATCTATCCACTCACCTTGGCTTCCCAAAGTGCTGGGATTATAGGTGTGAGCCACTGTGCCCAGCCTGAGTTTCTTAGAAAGCAAAAAAGGAAGCAAAAAGAGTACCCAGGCCCAAATGAAGACAGCTGAAAGTTTAATGTACCTCAAATTTCAGCCCACAACTAAGGGATGAACTTTCAGTCTCTTTTTGAATCCATCTCAAGGGTTTAGGTTTAGAGTTTCTGCTCTTTTAAACAGACTAAGAACCTCTGTGACAAAGTAAATAGAGAAAATAAGTGTAGCCAAGCTCTGGCAGGATTCGGAAGGGGGCCTAACATGGAAGAAAGGAGAAGGTTGGAATTGACTAAGACCTGCTACACTCTGGGCTGGATTTGTTCTCAGCAAAAAGCAAGAAAGAGGTCTGGGATGGTAGCAGGGCTCCCACTACCACCGGGGGTCAAAGGTTGCAGTATTTCTCAGGTAGCCAAGAGGCACCCATGAGCCCAGCTCCTGCCCACTCCCTGATGTCATCTAGATACAAGGACATGGGGCATGAGAGGACGTCATCGTCACTTCTCTGCAGAGTCACAGGAACCTGCCCTCTGCTCCTCCACCTCTCAGCTGTCTTCCTGCCCTGGGCTGGAACAGACTGCCATGGCGACTCACTCTCTCCCACGCCCCCACCCTCGGCAGGAAACCACTTCAGGGCTCTGAAATCAGCCTGTGAGTCCTGGTTAGGGCCTCCTGCGCCTGACTCTCCTCTCCCCAGGCTGCAAGAAATAGGGATGACCAGAAGTCAAACTGTGCCCTTGGGAACACCCCACCCCTCACCACTGTCATGCCGGAGTCTGTTCCTAAGACCCCTCCCCAAGCCCCGTCCCCTCTTCCCCCCACAAACCACAGCAGACACTCAGCCAGCAGGCTGCAGCCCTGCGCCTTCTCAGCAGCCTTCACCAGAGCCATTGAAAGCCCAGTTGTCCTTCCCCAGCCATGTGCCAAGACTAAAGTGTAGAGGACATGTAAGATGACACTGTCATGATCATTTGTCCTGTGCCCTGTGGATCCCAAGGTCCCGCCTGACATGAACCCATCTGATATTGAGCCCAGTGAGTGGGGAGACCCTAACACAGCTGCTGCTTTTGAGGACTTGGGTGGTGTCTCGCCGGTGGCAGGGGAGGTCAGGCGAGTTTTTAGCAGATGACCCCCGTACTCTTCGGAAGCCCCGAGGTGCCACACTTGTACCTCCCCTGATGCCTGTGAACGGGGTGAAGGAACAGCCTGGGCCTGGGTTCTTTGCTGGGCTGTTTTTGGACTTGGCCCCAGCTCAGGAAGGGTTCATGGAGGAGCCAAGGAGGGCCTTGTTCCTGTGGGATTTCTTTGCCTTGGGCACAGGGACAGCCTCTTGCTGCTGCTCTGCCCACCGCCCAACCCTTGGCGGCCTCTGGAAGTCTGGGCTGATCTCCCTCTGGACCCAACCAGTTGCCCAATGGCTGGACCTGCTCAAAGCTCCCTCTTGCAACTGGACCAGGGAGCCAGGGGAGGCGCTGAGGCTGAGCTTCTGAGCTGGTGCCTGTGGATGTAGGACGGTCCCGCAGCTCCCACACTGGGATGGCCAAGCAGCCCATGAGACCCACATTCCCCTTTTAGCAAAACAGGAGGGAGGTCGCTGGGCACAGGGAGCCGGGAACGCCTGTCCTCCCCACCATCGACGGCTCTCGAGGCCAGAGCCTTCGCTCCAGCCCCAGCACAAGCCAGCCAGGGCGCAGGGCCAGGTGATGCCCGCCATTCCCCGGGTGCCCCAGGACCTCCCAGCTGGGGCTGGCTCGGACTGATGGATCGTCCCTGCCGGTTACCCTCTGGGGTCTCCAGTGCCTCGGAGTTCAGCCGGCTCTTGCAGCGGTGGGGGCTGGGAGGAGAAGCTGCAGGGAGCCCCCAGGCACGGGACGTTGTGGGGGGTCGTCAGGCCTGCTCTGGGGCTAGGACCCCGGGGGAAGTAGTGGGGGTTGGCGCCCTCCACCACAGCGGTGACCTGGGCCGCGGGTCTCGGGGCTCTCACGCGGGGCGATGGGGCTCTGTCTTTCGGGGTTGGGGTCTCTTCCGCCGGGTTTGGGGTTCTCTCTGCGGATCTGGGGAGTCTCTCCCGCGGGATGAGGGGGGCTGTCCGCCGCTCCCGCCTGTGATGGCCCAGAGGACCCGAGCTCCGGTCACTCCCGCCCCCCTTGGGGCTCGGGGAGGGCGCGGGAGGCAGGCGCTGAGCCGGTGACGCGGCTCCGGGCGCGCAGCATAAATAGCAGCGGCGGCTGTAGCGGCGGCCACCCCGGGCGGCGGACACGTGGAGGGACCCGGCCCGCGCCTCCCGCCCCTGCCGCCGGCCGCGCCATGCGGTGAACGCCCCAGGCAGCCAGAGCACACTCGACCCGGCCCGACGCCCGGACCCGCCGCCCGGACCCGCCGCCGCCCCGGGACCCCGACACCGCCCCGGGACCCCGACGCCCCGACCCGCCGCCCCGGCCCAGGGCGCAGCCGCAGCTCAAGGTACTGGCGCCCGGCCGACCCCGCCCCGCCCGGAGGCCTCCCCTTCCGCTCTCCTCTGCCCCGGGACGATTCCGCCAGGGGCCCCGGCCCGGCCGCCGCCTCTGCTCCTCCCTGCAGCCCCCCGGCACCCCATGCCTCGGGGCGCAGCCCACTCCGGGTTCCGACCCTCCTGCCCTGTCCTTCCCTTCCAGATGGCCCGAGGCAGCGCCCTCCTGCTCGCCTCCCTCCTCCTCGCCGCGGCCCTTTCTGCCTCTGCGGGGCTCTGGTCGCCGGTAAGTGCGGGGCGCGTCTCCTCCGGGCGAAGCGGGCATCAGAGCCGGCCGGGCGTGGAGGGCTTCCTGGAGGAGGCGGCCTCCGCCCTGCCCTCGGGGACAGTGGTAGAAAGGCTAGTGCGGGCGCTGTCCTGGCCACGGGCGTCTCGAGAAGGGTCCGGAGCTCCCTGGGATTCCCCCGCGCGCTTCTCCGAGTTCATCAACAGCACCGGGCTATAACCAGGCCGCCCGGAGAGTGCTGCGCTTCGGGTCAGCGCTTCGGGAAAGCGAGAAGCTCCCCGTTCCGCAGGGCTTAGTTAGAACAGAGGGTGAGGAGCCACCGGCGTGGCCTCAGAGTCACTTAAAGCGGGTGCAGTGCGCTGAGAATGCGCGAGCTGCGACCCGCAAGTGAAGTATCTCCCATATGTCAAATACGGCTTACTTAGGGGTAAACCTGGAATTTCGCGAGTTATCCAAAAGCACATGCATTGTTCTAAGTCCTCTGCCGTGCCGGAAAGCCTGGGGGCACCCATTCAGCATCGGCTCCAGGCACAGCCCTGGCATCTGACCCCCTTTTCTCCCCTCAAGGCCAAGGAAAAACGAGGCTGGACCCTGAACAGCGCGGGCTACCTGCTGGGCCCACGTAAGTGACTGACAGCATGGCCTCCCCACTCCTGACCCCACCTGCCCCCTCGCTTTGAACCCTGGCTCCTGCCCCTCCGCCTGCGGCTGCGCAGACCTTCCGGCCTCCCTCTTGACCTCATTGCCCGTCTCCATTGGCCTGCACACTTGATCTGTGCACGGTTCTTTCCAGAAGCTTCTCCTACCCCGGCTCTGCCGCCCTGTCCCGGTGTGAGATTCCTACCCTGGGCTTTGCTCAAGCTCTCCTCGGTTTTCCCGCGTTGCAGTCCTTAGAGGCCCTGTTCCGGGCCTCTCCCCAGGCCCCCGGTCTCCCCAAACACTCAACTCGGCTTGCAGAGCACCCTAGGTCAGCAGACCCCAAGTCTTGCCTCCCTCTTCCCTTTCTCCAAGCTCCACAGGGGAACTGCCAGATCGCCTGAGGGCAGCCCAGACAGGCTGTCCTCAAAACGAGGTTCAGCTGACCCTGACTGCCCAAGCCTGTGTCCCCTCCCTCTCCCTGTCCTGTTGTTGTCATCCGTGTCAGCAGTGTCCCGTGCTGCCTGAGGTGAGCCCTAGCCCTAGATAGGACTCTGCAGGCTGACACCTCCCCATGTCCGCCCCTGCCAGTGCCCCAGGCCTCTACTTTCTCCACATCCTTGGTCTGTGCAGCAATGCCTTCAGACCTTCCTTCGAAGGAGGGGACAAGAGGCGGCCTTGGCTCTCTTCTGTAACTCACCTTCCCCTCCACCCCTCCCATCCACCTTAAAAGCCTCCCTGCATTGTCTTCTGCCAGAGGAAGGATGCAAACAGCCTGCAGGGCCTATCTGAGCCCCGCCAGAGCAGCAAATGAGGAGACCCTTTCCCAGGGCCTTGGAAAGCACAGCCGGGCCTCAGGCTCTTCTCCCCATGCCAAGGAAAGCTGCCTTAGTTCTCAGTCCCTGAGTCGAATACAGCTTCCTCTTCCCGCAGACACTTGTTCATCAGGGTCACTCGGAGGACCCCCAGAGTCAGGTTTTAAGAAACAGACACGGGGATGAGAGAGCTGCCTGAGGCCGCGTGCGGGGTGGACCCGGCTGTTCATCGCAGGGCCTCCTGGTCTCTCTGCACGGCCCTCTCCTCCTCTCCCTGCCGGTGGAGCAGCCTGACCTGCCTGAGGCTGATCTCCTCAACCCTTTGCAACCCTGAGCTCTGCCTCTCAGAGGGCACCTCAACTTTGTGTGCTACGGGCCCAAACAAAGGAGGAACTGGTCAACAAAAACATTTATCTGTGTTGCTTTGGAATATTGAAAATCTATGTGTCAAGAAGAGTTTGAACCCTAATTAGAAAACAAACTCATTTTCGCCATCAATTTTATGGCCTGGTTCAGCTGTAGCTAGACCCGTTGTTTGTCAAAATACTTAACAGTGTGCCTCTGATTTCTAGGGTCAGCTAGAAAATGCAGCAAAATCAATGTTTTTTCACCAGTGCTGAACGCAGTGTGGCCGTGGCTGAAGGTTCATCAGTGAGATGGGGCAACCTACGGTTCCTCTATAAATTTAACACCAAGAACAGCATCTCTGGAAATAGGAGTTAATTTTCCTTTGTCTGGCCTTGTAGATGGCACGGTCCACCCAGGCCAACCAGCCGGAAACGCGGAGGCGTCCTCCCCCTCCTCCCCATCTCTCATTTCCATTTCCTTTCCTGTACAGCCCCAAATGCAGCCCTTCTCCTCACCCCACGCCCCTTGGTTTACAGCTGTTATCGTTTCTTCCCTGGACTTCTGGGATCTCTTTGCTTGCAATCACAGTTCCCCCATTTTCGCACAACACACACACACACACACACACACACACACGCGAACGCACACACGCCCCCGCACCTCCATTTCTTCCCCCGCCATCCTCTCTCTCTCCCTCTGTGACTGTCTCGCTCCCTCTCTCTCTCTCCTGTCTCCCTGGCTCCAGTCCATCTTGCACACAGCTGCCAGAGTGAAAATAAAAATCGGATTCAGTCACAACTTAAACTCTTCAGTGGCCCCCATGCTTTCAGGGACATGAGGATCCAGCCCCTGTTGTCTGCCGGGGAGGCACCCAGCTTGATGCCAGCTCAGTGCCAGCTCAGATGTCAGCTCCTCTGGACCCGGGCACAACCCCTGCAACAGGGCAGATTCCCGGCCTCTCCCGCCCTTCAGGAGACACACCTCCCTTTCTCCCACCCCTCCTGTGCAAACCCTCACATTCCCTTTGGCCTTGGTGCAAGCGGCCAAGCTCTTACCTCAGCTTGGTGGAGAATCGCCCCCTCTTCTCCCCACTCCTGACCCCACCTGCCCCCTCGCTTTGAACCCTGGCTCCTGCCCCTCCGCCTGCGGCTGGGCAGACCTTCCGGCCTCCCTCTTGACCTCATTGCCCGTCTCCATTGGCCTGCACACTTGATCTGTGCACGGTTCTTTCCAGAAGCTTCTCCTACCCCGGCTCTGCCGCCCTGTCCTGGTGTGAGATTCCTACCCTGGGCTTTGCTCTATTTCACAGTCAAGTTGTGTGTGTGTGTTGGCTACAGGCAGCCCTGTGTCCTTCTTTGGGTGTGGGGAGAGGGTGCATGACAGTCACACCCAGAGGCTTTCCTCTCTGATCTGCAAACAGATGCTGTTGGCAACCACAGGTCATTCAGCGACAAGAATGGCCTCACCAGCAAGCGGGAGCTGCAGCCGCAAGACGACGTGAAACCAGGTGAGAGGACTCCTATCCCGGGCTCCCGGGCACCTCACTTCCGGCAGCTCCCAGGTGCATGCAGTGGGGGACAGCTGTGGGTGTCGGGACACCTGCCACCCATCTGTCCACAGCTGCAGCCCAAGCCTGGCCATGACTTAAGAGGATGTGGCCTCGCCACACCTGTCAGCAGCTGCAAACACAATCTGCAAACCCGAGACAGCAAGGAGTCCTTGTAGACTGGGAGGCTGCCTGGGCACCAGGGCCTCCAGAAGAGTGGGGCCGGGCGCGGTGGCTCACACCCGTAATCCCAGCACTTTGGGAGGCCGAGGCGGGTGATCACCTGAGGTCGGGAGTTCAAGATTGGCCTAGCCAACATGGCAAAACCCTGGCTCTACTAAAAATATAAAAATTAGCCGGGTGTGGTGATGGGTGCCTGTAGTCCCAGCTACTTGGGAGGCTGAGGCACGAGAATCACTTGAACATGGGAGGCGGAGGTTGCCGTGAGCTGAGATCGCAATACTGCATTCCAGCCTAGGCAACAGAGTGAAACTCTATCTCAATTAAAAAAAAAAAAAAAAAAGAAGGCCGGGCGCGGTGGCTCACGCTTGTAATCCCAGCACTTTGGGAGGCCGAGGCGGGCGGATCATGAGGTCAGGAGATCAAGACTATCCTGGCTCACACGGTGAAACCCCTTCTCTACTAAAACCACAAAAAATTAGCCAGGCGTGGTGGCGGGCGCCTGTAGTCCCAGCTATTCGGGAGGCTGAGGCAGGAGAATGGCATGAACCCGGGAGGCGGAGCTTGCAGTGAGCCGAGATCGTGCCACTGCACTCCAGTCTGGGCAATAGAGCGAGACTCCGTCTCAAAAAAAAAAAAAAAAAGAAGAGCGAGGCCTTGAACTGGATCTCTCCCCTCTCCCTCACATTGAACAAGGGCCTTGGAAAGCACAGCCGGGCCTCAGGCTGCTGGGATCAGATCATTGACCTCACAGCGCCCAGCTCCTCTGTGGGAGGGGATGACCGGAGACAGAGAAGCACCCTCTGCACAAGTCGTGAATGTTGATCTTTTCTCTTTTCTAGGAAGCTTTGACAGGTCCATGCCTGAGAACAATATCATGCGCACAATCATTGAGTTTCTGTCTTTCTTGCATCTCAAAGGTATGTGAAATATCACCAACTTAACATTCATCTCTTAGCACACTGGAAACATAAAAGGCCCATCGAGAAGAGAACCCGTAGAATCCCCCTGGGAAGTAGCCGATTATTTATCTAAATACAAAGTCCTGTTTGGCTGTGCATCAGGATGACAGAGCATGTGACACTAGAGCTAGCTCCAGAGGGCTGGGATTGTGGCAGGGGCATTCCACTGTCTGTGGACGGCCATCAGGCCAGCGCTGCTCCCAGGAAGAGGGTGGGCCTTAGGATGCAGCTCACTCTACTGGAACCATATCTATTCACACGGTAACAACTGCTGGACCTTTTAGGGCACAGGTATACTATAGGCCAGGTTCTTTGTGAGCCGTCCTAAACCTTCTTTTCTCTTTTCTTTTTTCTTTCTTTCTCTGCCTTTTCTCTTTTCTTTCTTTCTTCTCTTTCTTTTCCTTTTCCCCTTCCTTCCATCCTTCCTTCTCTTTCTTTCTCTCTCTCTTTCCTCTCCTCCCCGTCCTCCCTCCTCCTCCCTCCCGCTCCTTTCCGTCCGTCCTCCTGCCTTCCTCCTCCTCGTCCTCGCCTCCCTCCTTCTTCTTGTGGTCCGTCATCTGTCGGCCCAGGTCGAGCTGCACTGGTTGATCTCGCTCATTGAGCCTCTGCATCCTGGGCTCAAGTGATTCTCATGCCTCAGCCTCCCAAGTAGCTGGGACAATAGGTGCTCACCATTATGCCTAATTTTTTAATTTTTAGTAGAGGTGGAGGTTCATCATGTTGGCCAGGCTGGTCTTGAACTCCTGGCCTCAAGTGATCTGTCTACCTCAGTCTCCCAAAGTGCTGGGATTACAGGCGTGAGCCACTGCGCCGGCCCTAAACCATATTTTCTAAGCAGGGAAATTAATAGGAGCCTGTATCTTAGATTGCAGTATTTTCCTATATAGCCCTCCTGCCAGGCAGGCTGCCTTGAAATCTAACTGGAAAGGTTCTGATCCTGGCTTCCAGTGTCTTCTGCAAACACTGGGGATGAGGAGACCTCCCACACACTATGCTTGGCATTCATTCCACGATGGGCATCTGGCCTTGATCACACAGGTCCTACTGCAGCAGTGGAGGGAGCCGGAAAGTGGCCCCGGTGCTCTGAGGGTTAACAGGGAGGATGTGGTGGGGAGGAGGGATGGACTGCTTAGCCTGTCCAGTGGAGACCTTTACCCGGTGCTCTGAGGGTTAACACGGAGGAGGAGATGGGGAGGAGGGATGGACCGCTTAGCCTGTCCAGTGGAGACCTTCACCTGGTGCTCTGAGGGTTAACAGGGAGGATGTGGTGGGGAGGAGGGATGGACTGCTTAGCCTGTCCAGTGGAGACCTTCACCTGGTGCTCTGAGGGTTAACAGGGAGGCGGAGGTGGGGAGGAGGGATGGACCGCTTAGCCTGTCCAGTGGAGACCTTCACCTGGTGCTCTGAGGGTTAACAGGGAGGCGGAGGTGGGGAGGAGGGATGGACCGCTTAGCCTGTCCAGTGGAGACCTTTACCCAGTGCTCTGAGGGTTAACACGGAGGAGGAGGTGGGGAGGAGGGATGGACTGCTTAGCCTGTCCAGTGGAGACCTTCACCTGGTGCTCTGAGGGTTAACAGGGAGGCGGAGGTGGGGAGAAGGGATGGACCGCTTAGCCTGTCCAGTGGAGACCTTTACCCAGTGCTCTGAGGGTTAACATGGAGGAGGAGGTGGGGAGGAGGGATGGACTGCTTAGCCTGTCCAGTGGAGACCTTCACCTGGTGCTCTGAGGGTTAACAGGGAGGAGGAGGTGGGGAGGAGGGATGGACTGCTTAGCCTGTCCAGTGGAGACCTTCAGTTGTACATCACAGTTTTGTCCAGTTTGGAAAATCAAGGCTGGTCCTTGGGTTCATTTGGGATCAGGATGGTTTTCATTTGCAGTATTATGGGGCTCCTCTTTAGGTGGCAATGGGGAGAGGGAAGAGGAGTGAGGGGACGGGAGCGGGGGAGGGAGACTGCCGGAGAAGGTCTCGGAAAAGACGGGGTTCATTAGAAATCTCAGAACCGAGTCACCAAGTTCCCTCTGTTGGAGCCCAGTGGAGCCTCTGGGAGAAAAGCTGGGGTGACTTTTCCTACAAGGGGCAGATGGATTCTGCCAGATTTTTTTTTTTTTTTCTCATTTGTTTTTAATTTTGTAACATGGAAACTCTTTCCTTAGGAGATACCAACTCTCATTACTGAGATAGGAATTATACCTCTTTAAAGCCTAAATTTAAAAGTCTGACAGTTTTAAATGCTTACTAACTGTGGGAGTTAAATCATTACAAAGCGAGAAATACAGTGTTGTCCCTAATTCTGGGTTTAATCCAGTAAGACTCTTTACAGAGGACGACCACACGCCGCTTCCTGTAGTATGTGTCGTGGTCGTAATTCTCTTGTGTGCGTATTAAGAAGTTGCTGCTCAAATGTGGCTCTTCCCTTTGCAGAGGCTGGGGCCTTCGACCGCCTCCCGGATCTCCCCGCCGCAGCCTCCTCAGAAGACGTCGAGCGGTCCTGAGTGCCTCCTGGGCGTCTTTGTCTGTGTGTTGCAATCTAAAGTCAAACCTTAAGATGATGGATAATCTTAGGCCAATTTACACAGAGTCGGCTCTTCCTGTTCTCTTTGCCTTGATGTTGTGTTGTCACAATTTAAGAATTTTTTTTTTTTGGTAATTATTTTATTTTGAGTGACAAAATAAAGAATAGCAATTACTTGCAATTGTCTTTTTCTTCCACACCTCTGTCTCATCACCAGTGCCACCCATGGGTTCTAAAAGATAAAGCTTGATCATAATCATGGATTAGACCTGAATTTTTAAACCCACATTCTACCATCAAGAGCATCTGAGACGCCACCTCTTATTGCATGTCCAGGGGACATAAAGTTATCTCGATATTAAGCTGAGTCAAATGTAATTATGAAGGTAAGTCTGTTTCTGAGATGAACAAAAACACAAAACAGACAAAACCCCTGCACTCGTGGAGCTGATATTTTAGGGAGATGGGAATGAAAAAGACTATGACAACCTTAAACAGATGGGTGAGGTGCGTGGTGCTCGTGGAGGTGGTCAGCGCTGAGAAGAGAGGTTGGCTGGGTGGGAGGGCCAGGAGTGAGGGCCAGGAGCCAGGTAGGAGAGGAGAGATGGGCGGGCAGGTAGGAAGGCAAGGGCAGGAGGTGTGTGCTGAGATAGTGCTGTGTGAAGGAAGGCATGTGGGAATGCCTCCTAACATGACAGAGACTGAGTCTTTTTTTTTTTTTGCCACGCCAAGAATGAAATTATTTAATAAAAGATGGTCATCACTGCACAACGGAGCCTTGGATAATATTGCTAGAGTTTCTTGATAATTATATTATATAGTAGGATGATCGAGGTATCCACCGTTGTTCACGTTCTCTACAGGAATTGGTCTCGATCTCTTGTACCATATCACAGATATGTATCCAACTGCAAAACCAGTCCCGCCTCTCGGGCTCCCAACAGAGTGCTAGACGATTAGCAGGCTTGAGCCAAAAAGCCGGTGCCCTGGCCACTGTAGTGACTTTTGAGTCTTTTGAGGGCAGAGCAAACAAGACTCATTACAACAGAAGTATTCGAAAACAAGAAGGGACAGGAAGACCGAGGGACGGAGATAACTGGCGCGTGTGTACATAGAACAGGCCTGTATATTATCCCCAGCACTCAATTCCCAGGAATACGTGTCATAAGA